TCGAGTTTCGCGTACGAATTTTTGCGACACTGCGGAAGCTGCGCGGATTTTTCCGTATATATGTGTGTACGTGTGTGTGTGTGTGTGTGTGTATGTGTGTGTTCAGGCATTATCGTGGAATTCGCGCAAGAGCGCGATATAATTAATTAACATTTTATCTCTTGAAAATATTTCAACGGATGTGACGTTTCACGAAATGAAACGAAGTAGCAATTATTAATCCGCTGCCGCTGTCATGATTAATATATTCCCCACGTCGCCGTTTAAAGAGATAGTGCGATATTATTAATTTAACGATGTTAGCGCATACATGTGTGTGTGTGTGTGTGTGTGTGTGTGTGTGTGTGTGTGTGTGTGTGTGTGTGTGTGTGAACGGCACCAGCGCGGCGGTGCGGATCTGAGCGGGCGTTTTCCGTCCTGCGCCACGAAGGCGCGATCTCTTTCACGGGGCTATCGTGAGGTCGCGGGTGTCACGACTAACGATTCGTAGCCAATAAACGCCGTAAATAGTCGGAAGCGTGATGTTGCCGATTTATCGGGGGGATAACGCCGACGTTCTCCGTCGATGATACGCGATCCCCGTCGTCAATTTTCGTTCGTGATTCAATTGATCTCCTGCTCACGGGGAGAATTTTCTGATGAAAATTAATATGGCACTTTGTAATCGAGAAACAGATCGACGTTCGCTGCAGTAATTGACTACACTTTCATTTTATATGTACTGTCTACACCTTAGGGGAACTGAAATGTGCTGTTAGAAGATTCGCTGTGTCTCTGACGAAATTTACTGCGTTCTCCTCGGCGAAAGAATTCTTACGGACAATCTATTCCTGCGCTATTGCGTTAAGAAAAAAGTGTTTGGTAACTATAATCGCATAGTGAAAGATTTATTGTTAAGAGAAATTTATAATTAAGACCTCATTTTAGTAAGTGCTACTACTATGATAATAATCTTTTATGTCTGTTTTTACTACTACTTCTTCTCATTAGATATAATAAAAAATATAATTGACGCCGAAAATAATTAATTTTAGTAACGTTAACTATTTTTTATCTTAATATAAAAATATATATAGTAAAATTGAAAAGAATTTATATGCATTCTAATTGGCCAATGAGCTCTTTTGGCTTTTTCACCTAAATTTGATTGTGCACCTGAGAGTCGGATAATTTATTCAGTAATTTATATAAAAAAAAACTGTAATATTCTCCATATGTGAAAATTACTGATCGAGAACGACGTGTGTAATAGTGTGTGTTTTATCGCAAATCCTCACGAGGTACACGCAGAAAAACATCAGCAGAAGGAGCTAAGATGCGGTCGTGGCAGCTTGAGATGCTTCTTTAAAATGCCAGCGAAAATGGCAGCGACCACAATTAATGTGGTTGCTGCCGAAACTGGATTCATTAGCTCATTAGTTTGAACATCGGTGTTGCAGCGAGAGATATTGGCTGTCAGCAACAAATGACGTTTTAGTATGTGTATGAGATAAGATACTGAAGAACTCTCCAAGATTCATGTATCAATAGCCGTTACTCGAAACTTGTCTCATGCAAGATACTTAGGCCCGTATTAGTAGTCATTATTTCAAGCTTGTCTCACACGTAGAGAAAAAGACATGGTGATGGCACAGCGGATGGCAACTATATGAATTGCTGTTACTGTGAGTTTACTATTACTATGTATGTTAATTTATAATTATTGCAACCAGATCTGTATGGCTATAAGAACTAGATAGTAATTATGTAGTTCCCATTCAGTAATCATTCAGTTTTAGCCGCAATAATACAAAATAAATATAATAAATGCACTGACTGAGGTGTTCAGATTGGAACTCAAAGTTAGATCTGAGTTTTTTAGTTGTGAATTATGTGATACACGTGACATTATATTTGCAATCGTGATCCGATAAAATATTCAACTCCAAATTCAAATCTAAGCGTCTCACGAGTTTTAAGTAACAACTATTAATACGAACCTTAGACTTGAGTTTAGAATTAGACGTGGATTTTTTATAAAAATTGCGATCACAGATGTAATGTCACGCGTGTCATATGATTCGACTGAGGTACTCGGAGATCCAATTCTGAATTCAGATCTGAAGAACTCAAGTGAGACGAGTTTTGAGGAACGACTATTAATATGGACCTGAACTTCTCAGAATGAATCTCACTCAAAACGTGTGAAAATATGCTCGCAATGCAATTGAGAATCGTAAGATTGAGGACGGTATTCATATAGTTGGACCTTATATTTAGAATCGCCTTGAGATTATTTTCAAATGCTCCGGAACTAATGAGACGATTCGCATGGCATCTGAAGATAAACTTAGGAAGATCTTAAATGTAAAATCCGTCTCTATGAGTACCGTCCTGAATTTATCATCCAAATTTGGAATGGATTATTCCTATAAGGGTGGATTACATCAAATTCACTCTTTAATTTTCGATGAAAATAAACATTTGACGATTCCGAGTACTGAATTCAATCTATAGCAGCGAGAAGTTATTCGAGAGACTCTGTGTGAGGCTCTACTTTTCACTTGGAATTTCTCCCCAAGCAATGACTGAGACTCTCCAGAGAATGACCGCCACTCTCTTAGCTGATCGCGCGCCAGCGTGCGCTTTGGACGTCACTTGACAACTTCTCACCTCGCGATGAACGCATTGAATTCGTAATAGCCGGCTCTTAGCGATGACAGAAAAACGTTTAGCCTTTTAGCCAAGCCCGCGAGCGAGCTGCCGAGATTCACCCGATAGCACCCGAAGTTACTCTTTTGCGTGTAGTTACGCGCCGCTCGGCCCGTAATCTCTCCGTAATCTTCGAGAAACCTCCCCCGGTGTGCATCTCTCGCGTGCTCGCCGCTCGGGGTGGCTCGCGACTGCAATTTTAAAGAGCGGCTAAGAGATGCGGGCGCACATGCACACACACCCACGTACATATACGTACATATAAATCGCCGCCAACTTACCGTCGCCGTTAAGTCGCGCTCCGGAGAACGTGCTCCGCGCTACACACGTAATCCCAGCGAGTGCGCCCTCCACCCTCGTGGCCCGGAGTACTTGTAAATCTTTATTCGACGCCGCATACGGCGGGATATACTTTACGATTACGCGCCGCGCGATCTTCGGTCTCGCCGGTCGCCCGGGAGCCGTTTATCGACGTAGGGATCCGCGTATTTTACTTCCTTACTACCTGTACATTTCGTACATTGCGTATTACTTTATCCGTCCGAGCGGGAGAGGAAGGAAGGGGGGGAACAGGGCGAAATGGATCCTCCAGGAGCTCCGAGAGCGACTTTCTGGCAGCGCGCGCTTCCTCGCGTGTCTCGCGTTTTTGCGCGATGCTTCACGCCGCCGGCACAAAGGAGGAATATAAACATAGCCTCGGATGGGAAGCAACAAGTAATGGCTCTTGTCTCGAGGGTTAACGCCTCTCGTGTAATTTTTCCGACGACTTCATTCATTTCGTAGACCCGTAATACAGCGAGCTGCTGTGCGCTCTCTCTCTCTCTCTCTCTCTCTCTCGCACGCGCGCTCTATCAGGCTCGCCGGAGCACGGCGGTCGCTGCACGTGGTTCGCAGATTATAGTCGTTTCGCGCAAATCCGGTAGTTGATATCGGAAAGCGATCGCGCATCGTAAACGACCGGTATTTTGGTAGCGGCCGAGGAGAACGCAGCCGGGGACTTTACGAGGGGTCGCGAGTTTTTAATAGGCTCCCGGAGGACCGCCAGGCCGTGCGGATGCGCGGCCCAGCGGGAGCGCAGGGGTTAAACGTTAACGTCGTTCGACTCCGGGGCCCTATGAGCGGGAGCGGCTTTTGAAAATGTGCAGCCACCGGAATGAATCGGTAATACGCGCGTAGTCGCTCGAGAAAGCGTATAATAAATCGCCCCGATTAATCGTTTCGAGTGTCACGAGCGACTTGCAAGACTCAGCCATCGCGATCCCCGGAGAGAGCAATGTTCACGCCACGGGGATTATCATGATAACGCTATGGAGCGCTTCTGATTTTCGTTGTCGTCGTCGTTGTTGAACCTCTCTCTATCTCTCTTCTTCAAGAACATTCAACCGGACTTTTATCAGGATGCTCCAAAGATTTAACGATCGTCAAGCAAGTGTCCTTCCAACAATCCTGCTTAGTAGATCGAAATTGAGCATTTCTTTACCTCACGCTATTTACTGTGGAAACACACTGACGTAGGCAGTGTATCTTATCCTCCAGCAGTTTCTACGTATTTAGCACGAGCTCTATTGTTGTTTTTGCGCTTGAAGGGACTATGTCCTGTTTATGTATCTATCTCTTGATCGTCGGCGAATCTCGACGTTGAGACCCGTGATGATTGACGATTACACCTTGCTCTGTTTCGCGCATTTTCCCCAAACAGGGCAGGACGTTCAATTATTGACATCCCCTTAGTCCTTGACACTCTAGAGAGAACTGGTTTCTCTTGCGACCAGCAGCATTTCTTCACGGTTTTAGTCGCGAAGTTCATCAAAAGATGAGCCTCTTTTGGAATCATAGAGTAAATACTCGGAGAAAAAGACACAAAAAAAGTAAATATAAAGTGACAAATATACAAGTAACTTAAACTTTAGTTGCAATAACTACCGAGCAGTTTTTATTAAACTATATATATTATAATTCTACGTACAAAACTCGTGCAGTTGTCACTTTATAATTGCCATTGCCATGTTTATCTCTGAGCGCAGGCAAGAAGTTTAACTACAACATTGGTCGGAGCAAAAGTCAGATTCTTCTCGAGTGACTAAGGAGAATGCCAATAATTGGGGTGTTCTATCCTGCTATTCGTTCGCGTGCAGCAAGGTCCCGCGAGAGATATTCGCGCCACGTACCTGCGCGCGCGTCTCAGAGGTAAGAGGTGCTATTTTGCATACGCTATCGGGACATTTCCTGGGTGGACGTGCGGCGCAAGGAAAATTCGCGACACGGCCACAGCGGATTACGTAAGCGACGCAAGAATATATATCACTTACTCGTGGGTCCGATCAGCGTCGGTGCGTGGTTATCCATAAACCGGCTGGCACTTTAACCCCACTGCACTGACACTGGCGTTATCATCGTCGGCAAGTCCGTTACACCGCGCGCCGTAACGTCATTCTAAACTAGCGCCATCGGAGGTGGTCGCGTATCGAGCTTCGACCTAATTACTACCCCTGAAGAAACAAAAACTATCCCACAAGAATCACAAAGCGACCCCTTCGACCGAACGCGACCGACCTCCCCGAACCAGTGATCAAGCAGCGCACCAGAACTCTCTTCGTCACGAGGGTAGCGGGAAACTGTCTGCGAGCGCACCGGCGCGAAACTCGCAGCCTGTCAAAGTCAAAGTTCCCCCCCTCGAGAGGACGCGACAGAGGGACCCTCGGCTGTTGCCTGTCACCCTCCGCGCACGTTTCACGTGACGCGCGTTTCCACGTCGCGAGTGTCGTGAGGGCTCGCGTCTGCGGATTAGCCGTCGAGAGAGAAAGAGAGAGAGAGAAAGTGGATAAACACCAGGAGCCCCAGCACGCGCGGCTCGTGTCGGCCAACTGACTCGTAGCGCAGAAACCTGGGGGCCCTTCGCCTCTTGGGCGCCGGTGCTGGACGACCATGGCTGGTGGTGGTGGTAGTGGTGGTGATGGTGGTGGTGGTGGTGGATGTTGCCGGCGGTGGTGGAGGCATCGAGGACGACAACGACGACGACGGCGGCGGCAGCAGCAGTCGTTGCAATGGTAGTGGTATCGGCGGCAGCGGTGGTGGTGGTGGTGGTAGTGGCGATGCTGCTGCTGCTGGTGGTGGTAGTGGTGATGGTGGTGGTAGTGGTGGTGGCGGCGGCGGCGACGGCGGTAGTAGTAGTAGCGGCGGAGGCCGATGCTTCTCGGTGGTGTGTGTTGGTGCGCGCCGGTGGAGGCGGAGAGAGGCAGCTAAGAGGAACGTGCGCTCTAGTGGGAGCGCGGGTTGCTGTTCTGCAGTCGTAGCTGCACACGCGGATGCTGCGGAGTGCCGTCCGAGCTGCCGCGCGAGACGGAGGGCCGTCGCAGCCGCAGCGTCCGTGTACAGAGAGATGGCCGCAGACTTGGTTAAATATTCATCCCCAGCCCGGCTGTCGTGTACACTGTATTCCGCCCCCGTGGCGGAATATTTGTCCAAGCCGCTTGTTGCCCGATTACTCGGGGGAGCTTCGGCGAGAGTGAATTCGCAGAGAGAGCGGAACGGAACGGAGCGGAGCGCGTTCGATCGTGGTCGTCCGCGCGGCCGTTAGGAATGTAAGATGAGGTCGCGAATGATTAATGCTGGTGGACGATTTGTAATTCCGCGGATTTCGCGCCGACGATAGTAGGATCCGGACAGAACCGAATAGAATATAGAAAATCACGATGACGCCAAAAAACGACGAGGAAACGCTCGAATCGTAATTAAAAAGTGAGCGCTCTTTTAGTCATCTTCTCGTCACTTTGGCATCATTTTGATATCGTCGTGATGTTTTCCTTTTTCTTGGTAGAATAGAGAAGAATAAAAAGATTGGAGAGGGGGGGATCCCAGGAGTCGAACAACGCCGCGGGGTCGCGTATTACTCGAAGAGGGGAAAACCGCGCGCATTGTTCGCCGCCCCTCCAACGGGGGTCGAAGAAACGCCGGGCGAACGAATCCCGGTAACCCGAGAGAGCGAGACAGGGGCCCGTGTACGTCTCTCTTTGACAGCGCGCCGGTTCAGCCTCAGGTCAAGCGTGGAATCCGCATTTCGGTCGGTGTATAAATTTGTTTTTTCACCAAATAAATACGCTCGGTCATTTATTTACGGTGACCCACGTCGTTCTTCTTTCTCCCCCCTCTCTTCCTCTCTATCACTTTCTCTCTCGCGCGCCGTGATCGTCCCTCTTCGTCGTCGTCCTCCTCCTCCAGCTGGCGCTGGTTCACTCGCCAACGTCGACGTAACCGTACCTGTCGCGCACACAGCTCCGGTCCCGATAAATAAATATTGACCGCCGAGATGGGCACCGCAAACAAATCCATTAATAACACAAGTTTAACCCCCGTCGCGGAATTGTGCGCGTGTACTCGCGGAATCGCCGGGCGAAAGCCGTGGGAAAGGGAGCAAGGGAGGGAGGAGGGCACGTTGGGGGCTGGGGGGGCGAGTGCGCGCATTTAGTTTCACCTGAACCAATCTCTGACGGCCCACCCCCCGAAACCCGACGCGCCTAACTCGACATTGTCGGTGTCAATTTATGCCTGCGGGTGGATTCGGCGTCACGGTAGAACAATTTAATAACGTTCATTTCCATGCGTTCGCCTCCCACCCTCCCCGCTGCCGCCGCCGCCGCCGCCGCCGATCACACGGTTCACCGAAAAGACAGAGAAGCGAGCGGCGTTGGCAGATGGATAGGGAGAAAGAGAGACAGGCGCATAAAGCGCGAGCGAGGGAGGAAGGAAGCGATGCGAACCGGCGGGCGAGTCGCGGCAAGCGGATTCGCGTAATTCGCGAAACTCTAATCAAATAATCCCCGATGTTTAATATCCAAGTTTCGCGGCGTGTCTCGTTAACGCACGCGTTACGAAGACAAACACACCGGTTTCATCGATAACGTCCCCCTCCCTTCATTGCCCCTCACCGCCCCCCTCCCCACCGCGTTCCCGCGCGGACGTCGGAGGGGGATGATGGTGCATGCAAAGGGGTTGGATTCCAGAAGGCCGGCTTCTTCGAAAATTCATTTCCACGAAGAGCAAACCCCGCCTGTTAATTTTAAATATCTCTATTATCGAGCGATGTATCGAGGATATCCCCGCGCGCGCTCGCGTCTAATTGGACGATCGATATTCTACCGCACTGCTCGTCGTTGAATCTTGTATACCTCTTATGCAATCGTCTCTTTTCTCGGGTACGTTGCTCCCTCTGGCTGTTTCGCGATCTACAGGGTGCTCAAATTCAAGACTTTTACAGGGCAGGTAGTACTTATTACATGTACATTATAGAGTAGAAAATGTTTGGCGAATGTAGGTTGAAAAATCAACGCTTTCAGAGTTACAAATGTTTTTAGGTTTTGGTAACGCAAATTATTAGTACTTCCATTGACTACGCGCGTATAATGAACGGACGCGAATATCTTACTATACTACTACTTTATTGTTACTTTGATGTTTACAAAAGAGATGTTCTAGATGTTCTATATGTCCTCCATCTATTTATGCACACGCTCGATATCTTCATGTCGCAGAATTTTTCGATTTGGATACCTTTCCGTACAAAGACGTTGTACAGCTGGAGTATTTCCATTCGCAAGACCATACATAAAATGCAAGTCTGCCATTTCCCGATTAAAATAACTCGATACACAACTGGCTATAGTTATGCAAGAATAATATAACCTGCAAAATTTCTTGAGTTTTTGTTACCAATGGATAGTCCTTACATCATTATACATAAAACAAAAAGGTCCAAGCCTTTTGTGGGCTCCTAAAATTAATTGGAAAACAGTTTTTCTTATACCACTATTTTTCACTAATTACGTCTCTTTTACCTATTTTTTAAAATGTTAAACTTGCTCAATGTTGCTCTTAAAGAGAAGGAATTTGATCGTATTTACCTTCTTGAATAATTGCGAAAAATCTCAGCGCTGTCTACACTTTTTAAATAGTCTACCAAATTTTCATCTTCATTTTTTTCGAAATATATTTCACACGTGGGTTAGATCATGCTTACTTGGATCATTCATGACTATGACCAATTAAAGAGGATTCTAACTACCGCGTCTCTTGAACGCTGTGCGTTCACTGACCACAAATGACTATACTGTATCGAAACAAGATGATAATATAAATATTATTTGTTAAAAATGGAACTCTAATTTGAAGGAGACTAGAAATTCTTGAAAGAAGACATACAAGCACCTTTTGCAAACATCAAAGTCACAATGTGGTAAGTAACTCTTTCGTTCATTCACCGTGCGTGATCGATAGGAACCTAAAAATAACTTCTAGAGACTAGTGTCTTTAAAAGATAGAGTCTATATAGCCATTCTTCGGATCTTTTTTATTGGCTTAGGCTTCTCAAAATGATGGAACCAATCACAGTTTATTCAATTGTGTTATTACTGTATTGTGAAGTTATAAAGCAACTCAATTACGGATTTTATTTTTTTGAAAAAGGATATCATACTTAACATTTTTATTTTGCGTTTAATAAATTATTATGGACTATATACTAACTTTTATTACAGCGTTTATGATAATAAGAACCTCAGTCACCAAAGCTTATTATAATCAAGCTTATCTATTATAATCTAAAGCTTAATATAATATATTATGGTACAACATAATGAAAGAAATAACTTAAAACATGTTTTACTTGATATTTGCAACACACTTCACTGTAATACGAGTCATCTCCATCACATATATAAATACACTATTTTGAGAAGTAAATAACCAGACTTTATCTTCTAGGAGTTTTAAGTATAATAAATATTACCTATCCTGTAAGTCTACAACCTCTTTGCTTTGAACACCCTGTATATTGGATGTTCATTAGACACAGGCGGAAAGTATCGCCGGGATCGCCGTCTCTCTCCGCTGGGACCGGCTCAACGCACGAGAACGCCTAGCGTTGTATTTCGAGAGAGAGAGAGAGAGAGAGAGAGAGAGAGAGAGAGAGAAAAAGTCGCCGGTACAAGAATTGAATATTAAAAATAGATTACGGGAACACCGGCGCGAACGCGCGCGTTGCAGCGGCAACTATAGCGGGGTGAATACCCGCGCGGCGATATATCGCGATATAAGAAATTTATTTGTCCGTTTCTGTCCCCGTTGAGACGTCACCGTCGTTCTCAGCGGCGGTGCACGCGGTGAAATATTAATTAAACGGATTTAAATGCGCCGAGACCGAGCGACTGGCCGCACACATGTTTCTATTCGCACTGTCGTCGTGAGGTATCGTCGCCTATTTGTGTCCCATGCCGGCCGTTATGTATGTAATTACCGACAGTGCCGTATCTGATCCCGACAATACGGTAACACGATGTTGTCGTGCGCGTGTCTTGTCGTTCCGCCCGTATCCTCCTGTCGCACGGCGTCTGATCGATAAATAAGAGTCTCCCTAGACAATAGCGCGAGGGGGGGAGGGGGGGGACAAAGGGAGAAAGTTGAAAAATCGAGCCCCCTTGTCGCGGCTTTATCCGGACGCGAAACGGAGAGAAGATGATCGCCTCGTAATCCTATATAAACACGGTTATTTTTATCCCATTACAGGGCGGTTCCGTAACGGCCCAGTGTAGCCTGGAGTCTCTGCATAATGCCACGTTCGTTGTGCACGAAGCTTTAAAGGCCGCCGACGGCCAGGGATGACCGCAGGATCCCGAGGGTTAGGTCGCTGCCACACCCCCTCGCGTCTGCCACCTCGAAACGACCTAACAGCAGGGGGGCGAGTATGCCTGGTCTATGATACAGACCTTCCCAATAGTCCCCCGGGTTCTCGTAGGGTCTCATACGTTGTGCATCTTCCACTCTTCGGGTTTCTCGCGCCTTCGTCATCGGAATGGATCGTCGG